GAGGCTAGAGAGGCGGGGCTGGGCCTTGGAGGGCGGGCCCAGGAGAGGGAGAAAGTTATCTGGGCGCGCCCCTTAGGAAACCTTGGTGGATCCAAGAGTGGGGGCTGGTCCTGGGAAACCGTCCCCGGAAGTGGAAGCTAAAGGGGTTGGACCAGGGAGACTGAATCGGGCCCTTGCCCGTTGCCGTTTGGAGAAGGAGAGGCTAGAAAAGACGGGGCGCTGAATGGAAAAGCCAGAAGGGGAGGGGTTTTGTCCTTAAGGGCACAGAGAGTCAATCTGGCTGATTCAAGCCAGAGGCCGACCGAAGCCAGGCCGTATCTGCGACTGGCCGTCTCAAGAGTTAGGGCCTAGACGAGCAGAGACCTAGGACTGGAACACTCAAGAGGCACGACATGAAGGGGTAAGACCCCCTTTCTACCCTGCATGAGTAGCATTGGGAAATTCCAGTGGGCGGAGCTTTTTTGGAGAAGTAGAATACAGAGAAGAAGGAGGGTTTTGCATATTTAAAGAGCAGGATGGCCGGGCGCGGTGGCGCAAGCCTGTAATCCCAGCACTTTGGGAGGCCGTGGTGGACAGATTGCCTGAGGTCAGGAGTTCGAGACCAGCCTGGCCAACATGGTGAAACCCCGTCTCTACTAAAACTATAAAAAATTAGCCGGGCGTGGTGCCGCGCGCCTGTAATTCCAGCTGCTTGGGAAGCTGAGGCAGGAGAATCGCTTGAACCCGGGAGGCGGAAGTTGCAGTGAGCCGAGATCGCGCCATTGCACTCCAGCCTGGGCAACAAGAGCGAAACTCCATCTCAAAAAAAAAAAAAAAGAAGAATTAGAGCAGGTTATGCTTTGGGGATGGGTCTAGATCTGCAAAGTTTGGGGCTTGGAGGACCTGAAAGTCCGGAGTAGCGGTACCTGGGACCAGGGAGGGCCCTGGCCAAGAGCTGCATGGGGCGGGGTTTGGTAATCTGGAGGTGGGCCTAGAGTAGAAGGCGGGGCCTGCTTTATCAAGGGCAAATTTTTGACCAGCAGAGGAGGGCCTAGAATGGATACTCCCGCAGGAATTATATGATGAAGAGAGAGTTTAGGTAAGTGATAGGCAGGGCCTGGTCACAGCAGGATGACATCATTAACAGAGTTCAAAGGAGCAGAGGGGCGGGGCTTGGGGAAAACCCAGGTTTATAGCGTTAAGGGTGGCGTTAGACTAACTAGGTCAGGGCCTGGAAACTCATCTCATCAAAGGTGGGTTTTCGACCAGTCAGAGCAGGGCCTGGACTAGCTGCGGTGGATTACCACCAGCCAGGTGGGGTTTAGACCAGCAGAGGTGGAACCTCAGCTAGAGGAGTGGGGTTTATGCCAAGTGGGGGCAGCCCAGACCATCTGGGGGTGGGTCTTAGATCACGTAGGGCTGAGTTTAGACCAGCCTGGGCTGGGTTAGGCCAGCAGAGGTGGGGCCTGGGCTCTCCCGGGGCAGGACCTGGACCATCCAGGACCATGTCGGAACCATTCAGAGCAGGGCCTGGACCACCTGGGGGTGGAGTTTAGACCCTGAGATGGGACTTGAACCAGCCTGGGCCAGGACCACGTAGGATGCTGTCTGGACCATTTGGGGTCCTAGACCAGTTGCAGGTGGCGTTTAGATCAATGGGGGTGGAGGTGGGGTCCCAGACCAGCTGGGGCTTAGTTTAGACCAGCCAGGGCTGCGTTAGACCAGCACGGAGTTGGAGGGGGAGGCTGGGGAGGAAGTGGGGCGGAGCCGCTAGGCAATCGGGGGCAGGACCTGGACCATCCTGGGGTTGAGACCATGTGTGGGGGTGCTCAAGCCTATGGGCAGGACCACCCATGATGCAATCTGGACCATAGGCGGCCCTCCACCACCTGGGGGAGGCGGTTTAGATCAGCCGGGGTTGAGCTAGCTGGGACTGGGCCTGAGCCCTCTGAGTTGGAGCTTAACCGGCCGGGCCGCGCCTGGAGCGTTGGGCGGGGAGTTGCGTTCCCTACGGCAGGACTTGGTCAGCCGGATCCAGGACGAGGGTGTAGCCCACTTCTGGGGGGGGCTACAAGCGCCGGGGGGAGGTGCCTGGGCCCGCTGGCGCCGGCTGACCTGGGCCGGAGGGGGGGGGGCGGGGCCGGGCCGGGGGTGGCCTCGAGGCTCCCGTCTGACCGTCCCCGCCCAGGCCTGAGCAACATCATCGGCGTGATCGTGTACATCTCGGCCAACGCGGGCGAGCCGGGCCCGAAGCGCGACGAGGAGAAGAAAAGCCACTACTCGTACGGCTGGTCCTTCTACTTCGGCGGGCTGTCGTTCATCCTGGCCGAGGTCATCGGCGTGCTGGCCGTCAACATCTACATCGAGCGCAGCCGCGAGGCGCACTGCCAGTCTCGCTCGGACCTGCTCAAGGCCGGCGGGGGCGCGGGCGGCAGTGGCGGGAGCGGCCCCTCGGCCATCCTCCGTCTGCCCAGTTACCGCTTCCGCTACCGCCGCCGCTCCCGCTCTAGCTCCCGCTCCAGCGAGCCGTCGCCGTCGCGGGACGCGTCTCCCGGGGGCCCCGGGGGCCCGGGCTTCGCCTCCACGGACATCTCCATGTACACGCTCAGCCGCGACCCCTCCAAGGGCAGCGTGGCCGCGGGGCTGGCGGGGGCCGGCGGCGGCGCCGGGGGGGCGTTCGGCGGCGGCGGCACGGCGGGGGGCGGCGGG